ATTTATGGATTTTTCCACTTTATTAGATATATTTGGACTAATGCGACTTATAGGGTGGTGTGACGTTTATGGCAGAAAATACAGTAATGCAGTTTTGAAAAGTAAGAGTTGCAAAAACAGTTTTCTGACACATAAAAACTGAAATGAGTCAGAAGTTGAAAAGCAAAGGCAGCCAATAAGATGCGTAGCACAAATCTCACCTTTCTCCTCCTCTTGTTTGTGTAACCAGCCAGTCAGCAATGAATAGCTCTTTTCACACATTGTTTGTATTAAAAAAGGCCTAACATATGAAGCCACTGCGGTTTTTCTGTGAACACAGTCCAAAGGTGACTCGGGGCCTTCATCAATTATGTGCTTACAACAATTTGGCAATGCTAAATTAGCTGTGGGACAACAGTGGTTGACAGTGGCAGCTGTCACCCCCCACTTCACATGTCAACTGGAATTCAGGCTTCAACATGCCTCTGGGTTGGCTCCGTTGTCGCCTGACCACCCATTATAGCCACTCGAACACCTTCTCAAAAAAATATGTGGAGTCTGGTGTGGGTTATTCAGCACCCCCGACCAGCCACAAAAAAGGAACTCCCGACATTCCTCCCAGGTAGCTTTGCTACAATCCAGGATTTTTATGCGTTTTATGGTGCCAAACATATCTAAGTCTCTCCTAATACACACTACCACAAAATAAAATAATATATTAGAAGTGTTGAAAGTGGCAGCCAAAATATTTTGGAAAATGCAAAAGCAATGTTTGATAATTAGTTGTATTTTTACTACAACAAAACAAAATTTAACCTTAGCTATTATTATGCACACATCAGCTGTAACTTAATATGTGGGGGTGGTGCTGCAGAGGTTAGAGAAGGTGGGCCTGTGATCAGATGGTCGCCGGTTTGACTCCCTGGACCGACTCCATCAAAATGTGGGTGGAAAAGGTGAAACATCCACACCTGCCTCCACCCTCGTTTGCCCCACGCTGGACCCTTGAGCAAGGCTCTTAACCCCCACCATCTGCTCCCAAACAGGTCCTCATGACTCAGTGAGACTACATGTATAAATAAAGGTTGAATAAAAATAAAACCTTTATGACCACAGTCAGGTTAAATGAACACTCTTCAGCAGGAGACAACATGATTGAGAGACAACTCACAACCCCAAAAAACTGAACAAAAAAGTGTGAGTTGTTCATTTGTCCTTAAACTCCCAAATATGAAAGTGTTTATGCAATTAAATCTAATGTGTAGAGACCCTACACTACAATTCAGAGTAAAAATAAACCTTCTATCATTGATTTCCTGGTACTAGACATGCCAAGACAGCCTCAGAATACATTTGATTTCTTCTTAAACCTTTAATAAAGGCACTGCTGGATGTATATAGAATGCCATGTAAATTCAGATGTGAAGCATTTACCACAGCAGCTCTGTAGACGGAACGTGGGATTTAATAGTTTCACACAATTTGCAGACAAACTATTCTATTTATCTGATGTATAACTGGCAGACTTCAATTTCATATGAATATAGAAACACATTTCTGTCTGATAATACTAGATTATGGTATGTTGTACTTTATTTTTGGATCTAAGAAAAATGACAGACTGTTGGGTTATACCAGATAAAGTATTAAAAGACTACTCAACCAATTCCATTTTTATTTCAATGCATTTCAAAAGATATATAATTTGTAGCTAAAAACAACTAAAACTTGTCATACCATACCTTTGTTCTACATTTCTGAAACCCAGAGCCTCTCACTGCTTCAAAAAGCACCTTCCAATTAACTGTCATAATCACCTGTAGATTTTTTTTATTCCTTCCCTGTGAAAGATTAATAACATAGAATGAGCAGCACAAAGAGGATAATTTAGCCCATCTGTCAGCTGAACTTGATTTGATTTATGTATTTTAGCCATCAGCTGTCATTGAAATATGGCTGTTCCATATTGTTGCTCTCAGAAATCTTAGCTGCTCAACTGACGTGATGACCTGATAATTGTAAATTTGAAAAGGAGTGAGCGTGCCTCAGTTTGTGTTAGAAAACATACTGAGATTTGACTCGTTAGCTGTTTTATTAGCTTACAGTGCAAATAAATTCAATTTAATTTGTCTTTTTGCTGTTGAAAAAGACCTAGGAAAACCATTGTAGTCTCTAGAGTCTCAGTGGTTCTCAAACTGGGGTCCCTGTCGGTACATTTGCAATAATATTGCAATATGGTAAAAGGAGATTTTCTAATTGAAAGGCTGTGATTTGACTGGTCACGTGATCTGGTTACGTAACTTACGATTGAGCGGAGCGGAGCAGAGCAGGGAGCAAGAGAAGTCAACACAGCGCTTTAACCGGTTGCACAGTGGCGTCATGCTAGAAAGAAGCTGATACATCTGAAAGTTTGGTACCAAAGAGGGGCAGCACGTCCATTGTTGAAATTGTTTTGTCTATAAAAAAGAAGACGCTGCACATCGACATGTATTGTGCAGAACCTGTCTTGCTGCTGTTGCTACCTCTCAAGGTAACACCGCAAATATTTATCAACACTTAAACAAACACCACAAAGCCATTTACAATAGTTGCATGGCTAGAATACCAACCAGCGCTTCAACTTCAAGTAAGCAAAGTACCAGCCGACAGGGATCACTGACCAAACTGTTCAAAGGTATTACTCTGTTTTAATACAAGTCAAAATGGCGCACAGTTTTTTAAGTTTTCTCTGCAGGGTAGCTGGACTCTCCCTGAGCGATAGGGTGAGAAGTTCAGTTATCTGGGAGCGACTCGGAGTAGAACCGCTATTCCTTCACGTCGAGAGGAGCCAGTTGTGGTGGTTCGGGCATCTGGTAAGGATGCCCCCTGGGTGCCTCTCTAGAGAGGTGCTTTGGGCATGTCCAACTGGGAGGAGACCCCAGGGAAGACCCAGGACACGCTGGAGAGACTATGTCTCTCATTTGGCCTGGGAACGCCTTGGAATCCTCCCAGAAGAGAAGGAAGAGGTGGCTGTGGAAAGAGATGTCTGGGTCTCCCTGCTCAAGCTGCTGTCCCCGCGACCCGACTTCGGAATAAGCGGAAGATAATGGATGGATGGATGGAAAATGACGCACAGAAATAACTTGAGCAATAACAGAGTTCATAGCAAAAGACGTGATGCCCATTAATATAGTGACCAAGCCTGGGTTTACAGCTTTGGTAAACACAGTGGATAAGTGGTACAGAATGCACTCGCACACATTTTAGCCAAGTTGTTATCCCGGAGCTATATAAAAAATGCAGAAACAGAGTTGCTGCAGAGCTGAAAACTGTGGAGTTTTTTTGCAAATGAAACAGATTTATTGCTTGTGTTCATTGAAAAATACATGAGAAGAAGACATTGACAAATAATTGCATATTAAATCGCAATATTGAGGTAAAAAACAACACAATTAGAATATTTTCCAAAATCGTTCAGCCCTACCCTGAACCCAAAAAGTTTGATAACCCCCGCTCTAGATATCTTGAAGTATGAAATGTTTTATCTCATAGTTGTAGTTTTGTGTTTCCAATACAAATAAAATACATCAGTGATGCCCTAAATGTTTTCAGTCTGTAATATCTTTTCGTACAGATAATAAATTGCACATGATTCCTGGTCTGACTCCTGTCTGCAGTCAGTGTTATTGTTGGGCCAGGTCATGACACAAATGTCACCTGTGCTGCTGACAGAACATCTGGACCGAGTGGCACTCTCAGTTATTAACTCGGACGTAGGGGTTTAGCTCACTGAACCAAGCGGCGTAATTTGTCTGATTAATGTGTCGCATCAAACTCATGAATATTCATCTGTTCCACCTGACTGACTGAAGAGTCAGAGAAAGAGTCGGAGCATAAATATATGAGCTAAAATCTCCTGAGGAGTTTTTACTCACTCCATGCACAGACTTAAAACTCTAGAAATTTGAAGTAAAATATTTTTTATTGACATGTCAGTGTTTGGCATTTGTACTACAAGTATATGACATAATAGGATTATTTATTTTTTTTAAGGCTTGAAAGTAAAAAGGTAAACATTGATTTAGATGACTAATTTAAAAAAAGCAAGCCTGATTTTTAAATGTGGTCAGGTAAACAAGATGGAAATTAATTCCATGATAAAACTCTTGAAAGCCATGCTAGAATGAAAGGAAAGAAGCACTACACAAGCACAAAGACCAGGAGAAATTAGCGTTAAGTGTTCCAATAGACCGGCAATAAAAACAGAAAGGTTGATGCAAAACTGAGATCAAAACATTTTGATGAGGAACAAAGATTGAGATCTTGTATTCAGACATGTGGTCAGGAATACATTAACCTGGAGCTCCTCGAGATTCAACCTGGCCATAACCTTACATCTTTACTGTCAGGTAGTATATGAATCCAATGTTTCTCAAGAGACTCACTGTCTGCTGCAGCACTGAGCGTTGTTCGGCTTCAGAGACTGCCAGCCAGCAGTGTCTCATGAATATGGATCTGGTTCCACAAGCAGTCCCTTAGAAAACGAAACCAGTGCTGTTATTGTAAAAGATTTGCTTTAAATGATCATCTGTTTCTCAGTCTAATTGGAATACCAATACACATCATCAATTTTGTCTCAAGATTCAACACAAGCATGGTTTAAACAAGTTTGTCTGCACTGTTTTGGTATATAAACACTGATTTACTTGGTCAATCTTGATTTTCACAAGACAAAAAGAAAACCAAATATGTAATTTAGATTGCAATGCATTGCCATGAAATATTTCAACCCATGACACAATTAGTTGTCCTAATTAACTTGGAACTGACTTGGAATACTTATTTGTCTGTTACAAGAGAGTGATTTTATATTTAAATTGCTCAAGAAGTCTGAGCCAACAGCATCCAATGCTAAATTTTCATGTCCAGATTACCTATTCATTGATTTTCTTCCTTGCTGTGCAACACATCCAGTGGGAAAAAAAGGTTGTACTATTCTTGTCTCATTAAAAAGAAACATTCTCCGTTATCTTGATTTTCAGGAGGTGAGTGACGCAGACATCATGGAGCTGGTCCACAGCTCTCTGGGCCGTATGACAATCATTCGACAAGTCTTCCCTTTATGGAGGGACACCAATGTCCGCTGTATGAGGAACAATCATCGCATTTCCTCCCTGCTGTGTGACCCACAGGAAGGCTATCTGCAGTCCCTAGAGGTAAAAAAACAAAAACATAGTTTTAAAATACCTCACAATGACCATTTTGATCAGACATGGCTAACAAAGTTGGATTTCACTTTCTTTCTATGTAAGATTATTTATATATTTATTTCAAGCTTTTGTTGCTCCAAGATCATGAAAGCAATTACAATAACAAAAAAATCTCCACAATACGTATTGTAACACACACATGCACACACACAACGGTGAGGCAAACAATCCAACTACCTGTTTAATGACACGCTGTAATGATAGAACCTTGAAAGTAAGTTAATAAACATGTAGACGACTCTGTGTTCTGGTACAGCTCAGCTGCTCAGGTAGATTTCGATCCATGGTTTGGGTCTTTACTCTGGTCTTTGTGTGATTTATAGACTCTTTCTTAAGCATTTTTTTATGTGAATGAAGACACTGTTTTGCAGAAAGAGAAGCTGTGAGTAGTTCCAAAGTACGTTTCCTTTGAGTCGTCTGCAAAACATACCAGAATACCAGTAGATAGATGCAGCTAACTTTACCTGTCACTGATGTTCAGTGTTGTGTTTTTTTTTTTTTTTTTTGTGTGCAATGTACGGTATTGCAGTATGCTTTCAAAAAGTGCTAAACACAAATATGACTATTATCTGAAACACAATATTGCACAATTTCTTGAAATAAAACAGGTGCAAGTTCTTATATCAATGATCACTGGGTGTTGTAATGTTGTAACATGAGCGTGAAAAGCCATAAGTGTACACAAGTTCCAGAATTGTGCAGCTCAAGGTGGATGCATGTTGGAGTAGCTCTCTTGCATTCACTCTGAGATTTTGCTTTTTAAAACTTTAATTACTCCCTTTTCTGGATGTAAATTGCTTTTTTTGGGTGATTACTTCCTCTGGTATCAGATGCTGTGCTGCTGGAAGAATTTTTACTGAAAACTTTTTTTTTTAACTTTTGGACATTTGTTATGATGTGTAACCATAACAACAAGATGTTTTTCTACAACTGGGAGCTGCGGATGAAAATCTCAAACGCTCAAATAATAAAACTACAGCCCCAAATCCCAATTGAGTTGAAAATGAGGTGCCGTGGATGCATTACCTTCTACCTGGAGGTGATGCTCAAGTGTCTGACTGCCGAGATCTTGGAGGTGGCGGGAAACGCGGCGAGTGACAGCGGGAGGACCGAGCTCATCCCCCAGCACCTGCAGTTAAGTCCGCAGCGACGAGGGGCTCGACAGGCTGCTGAGAGAAATAGTCATCATTCGGGAGGAGTTCTGTCCGGTATTCAGGCAGTCTTGCTGCCCAAGAGGATCATAGAGGTCTGCTGGGTCTGGGTGGACAGAGCGGCATCTGCAGCCAGTTGCCCAAATGCCCAAAGCCATCAGCATCTAATGAAACCAAGATTAGCTACAATAACAATTAATTTCCCTTTGGGATTAATAAAGTATTTTTGAATTGAATTGAATTGGAACGGATTACAAAGATCAGTTCAACATAAAGGCACTACACCCAAAAGCCCACAAATAAAACAAAAACAAACCAGTTGGGCCCAAAGTGAAGCTAGGTGCTTTATTAATCTTTTTTTTAATTATTATTATTTTGATAGAGAAATAAAACAGAAGCCTGTAGATATGAGTGTATTTGCCAAGTATAGTAACTGCACACATTACCTGATTATGTATTCAACTGAATGTATATTAGGCTCCAAGGTAATTATGAGAGACATGGAAGCCCATGAATATAAATGACACCAGAACAGTGGTTCTGGGGAACCATTGACAGGACAGGATAAAGTGTTGTTTTAATCTAAGAAAATCACAATTTATATTATTTAATGATTCAGTTTATTAGAATCTGAATTTCATGTAAATTTAGAAGAAACCATAAGCTTAAAGCTTTCTGAAGCAGAATACTTGACCCATTTTGAAACTAACTTAATGATTTTTTAACCACTGATTCATTAAGCAGGAACCTATTTAAGGGAATCCAGTGACAAGGAGGGTTTGTTATCTAACAAAGTCATGCTCTTCTTTCAATCTTGAAAGTAACCTTGTCCAATCTGTCATTTATTACTAAATAAAGAGTACAGAGTGCCGTCTTACACCTCTCAGATTATTGTTTGGCTCAATCCATCTGGAGTGCAATAGCTGTGTTCCCCGCAGCACTACTGAAACGTTCATTTTCCTTTTATCCATACTATGGACAGATGGCAAAACCATGTGGCGTGTGCGCCCACAATCCTCAATTATTCACATGAAAGGGGGTTAAATATCAGGTAATGGCAGGAAAAGCATTAATCAGAATGGTTAAACATTTGAAAAGACGGCAGCGCCTTCCTGCCCTAATCCCATTTACGATCAAGGAGCTGTGATGTGACCTCCCATATTCCAAACAAATGAGCAACTGAACTGAATTTCACCTGGATTTAGCCACTGACTCAATGACCCTGAGGGAAGTGAAGTGGTTCTTACAACTGAGTAGCTTGGAGCGGAAATCTAAACATGTTATGAACTGAGTACTTGGAGTAGCAGCCAAAATTGTTCCTGTGGATAGATTCTGTGGGAAGTCTTGACTAAACTTGACCCAGAATACCTGTCAAATTGATTCATCGCACCATGACACAAAAGTTGAATGCATTGGGACAAGATGTACTGAAGTTGAGGTGGAGAAAGTGGGACATTTTACAGTCGTGAAATGAATTAAACTGAGAACATTTGAACCAGTCATGACTGCGTTCATATAGCACCATTGTGACGTTTGCCTTTTCTAATTATGTTGTTCAGCATATTCCTCCACCAGGTAGATATATTCCATCGCTGTTGAGGAAAAACGATCTGTTTTATCTAAACATGTGGACAGTCACAAGGACGGAAAAGAGATGGGATTCTTAAAAGGAAATGTCACAAAAAGAAAAATCTTCCCGCCAACTTCTACATGAAGAGACAAGATTTATTCATCCCTGACAATTTTTCCACAATCCAACTACACAGACTGCAGCCAGACTGAAATATGAGTGCTGCTGTGTCTCTGCTTCACTCACACCAGTCCCCATAGGGCTATGTCATATTTTCCACAGCCTGAGGACTTTTATTGGATTTCTTTGTAGTTGGGTTTGTTTGTTTGTTTGTTTGTTTGTTTGTTTGTTTGTATTTTTGCTGGGCTGACAATAAAAAAATAAGGAAGAAAGTTCTTAAAGGTGCATATTTTCCCCCCCAACAGGTGTCCAATCTCTATCTGTATGACAGTGTTTTGATGCTGGCCAACGCCTTCTATAGGAAACTGGAAGACAGGAAGTGGCACAGTATGGCAAGCCTCAACTGCATGAGGAAGTCCACAAAGCCATGGAATGGAGGATGGTCGATGCTGGACACCATTCAGAAGGTTTTTTTTTTTAATTATTATTATTGTAGCGATATTACATAATGTATTTTTTAATCGAAGCTGCTGCTATGTTACCTTGTAAAAACAAATTAATGATAGGTTATACAATGTCTTGTAAAGGATAATATCATTTAGGGAGGCACAATATTATCGGCATGATATCGGCCGATATTAGCGTTAAAGTTCAATATCGGACATCGGTCATTCCATTAAAACAACTCACCGATATAAAAGGCACTGTTTTTGTATGACAACCCAGTGACAAGGATGCCTGCAGCGGCAGCACAATGTGATGACGTCAAGCGCAGAGTGGAAAATTCTAAATGTCGGCAGCGGGGAAGGTTTTTTTTTGTTGGTGAGGATGTCAGATTCTGAAGATTTTTGGACTATGTTGAACCTCGCTACATTGTCCCCAGTCTGAGATATTTTTCTGATGTAACCTTACCCAAGTTACAAGCCGTCATTTTTGACGGCATTGAGAAGCTAATAGCCAATAGCACTTGGGTGAGTTTTACCACAGACATTTAGAATGTCAAGTGTTAGCCCCGTTAGCATGATTAGTCTTACAGCATGCAGGTGATTAATGCTAATAAAATGTAACACTTTTCATTTAATATAAGTCAAAGTGCTATGCATATGCCTGTTCTGAATATACGTCGCCAGTTCTTACAGCTGTTACACAATTTTTGTAGCAAATAAGCCTAAATAAGAGGGCTATGTTCTGACAAAGGAAAGTATATAAAATATCTGTATCGGTTATCGGCCAAATAAGTTTTAACATATCGGAATATCGGATATCAGCCAAAAATCCAATATTGTGCATCCCTAATATCATTGCATAAAATTATACATGAAAAGCATTAGGAATTAAAAGATAAAATTCTACAGTGTTTCCCCTACATTACTTGTTGGTAGGGCGCTCAGTCATCTCTTCCAGGATTTTTGTTGATGGGGGTGGGTGGGGTGGGGGGGACTGAGAAACATCTGGGTTGTGCACTTTTCCTACCGACAGTTTCGGGGTGGGGGTGTAGTAGTTTAGTGCTACGTCAGCGCTGGCAGTTGTCGATGTGGTGGGTTTCAGTTAGGTTTGGTAGGCAGTGTGCTTGGTTCTGTTGACAGGGCGAGGCGCCCTGCTTATATAAAGCAAGATTCAAGATTCTTTGTTGTCATTCACATTGCATGTGGTACATGAGGTGGAACAAAATTGTGTACACAGGGTGGTCCCAGGTACATCCAACAATAGCAAAAATATAAATTGTAAAAAGAAACAGTAAATAATATAAATAATGGTAAATAATGCAGTAATAATAATAATAAGTAAATAATGGTAGTGGAAACACTGTTATATAATTCAGTCAGTAAAAAAATATAGATAAACTGCTATGATTTTTGCTGGAGACTTAAATTTGATGGTTTATAGAAAGCCTAATATATAAATAAGTGTGATCTCCACTGGCATCAGAATGGGTTCATGGCAGTTTCAGGACTTTGATCTTGTTATACTTATGCAGCCTCTCAGTCCTTTCATTGAAATAAGCCTCAAATACAAGAGAGTGGACTTCCATTTTAATCTGATAATGGAATTTTTCATTGTAGTGTGGAGTCATGCTGGTTTAATTTCCTTTGACAGACGATGCCATAGTGAGGCACAAAGGAGCAACAAAGCAGGGGCGACGCCGTCTTGATCAGACTGTTGTGCTGGTGTTACACAAACCAAATGTAATCGGTTTTTAAATGATGGAATATTTAGTTTCAGCTGATTGTGCAAGGATTTAGTTTATACCAAGACTGAAAGATTCACTCACAAAAAGAAAATACCACAAATCGAAACTTGCTTTTTTTTTTTTCTTCTCTTTTTAAAATAATTGTTATTGTACTGTTAAATTGAGTTGCTAACTAAATGAATGAATATAAATCTCTTCCCTCTGTTGTTCTGTCAGGGACGGATCAGTGGCCTGACAGGACTGATGGACTTCCGTACCGAAGGCTCAAACTCACATGTACAGTTTGAGATTCTTGGGACGAGCTACAGTGAGACGTTTGGGAAAGATGTGAAACGGGTCAGTTTACATTTTTTGTAACATTTTCACTTTTCACTTATCTTTTTTTAAACCTCTCTTCTTTGGTCTGTTTCAAAGACTGCACCTGTGCAAAAGTCTCAAGTCATTTCTTTACAATTTGCTTCTAAGGAGCCAGACTTTCTTGTGAACTTTGAAAAAGGACTTGATCAATAGTTCTTTAGGCTTTATAAAGGTCTTTTTTTAAAGAGGCATCCTTTTCAATCAGTTTGAGCCCAGTGCATGACCGCACCATTCATCTGCTGTGAAAGTTTCCAGGATGGCACTTCCTGTTTTGTCCCTCCACTTTTCCTTCCCTCATTTTTCATTGCACAGTACACTGCCAAAATCCAGCACAAAGATTAGCCAGAAAAAGAGTGGGGGAAAGTAGCCAAACAAGAACTTTGAGAGATCTTCAGAAGGAACAGAGAACTTTTCGAACACTGCCACTTTATAGGATTACACAAAGGTCGGGCTCCTTACAAGCAAAGTGGAAATAAATAAAGGTGGTTTAAAGCTTTTTCACATTGTATTGTTCACATTTCAGTAGGTCAGACTTATTAGTGTAATATATTCAATGACTTTATTTCATATTCCCATAACGACTGACTGTGCTGTCAAAAATTTAAACTGTAGACAACAGACTAAAATCAGTCAATTTGAGCTTCTTTGTGAAATTTAATTCTGCAAACTTTTAGAGATGGATTCAATTTTGAGGCGAATCACATAGTTGTCCATTACGTAGCTGGTAAGGAAACGGCAAAAGATGCAGAGCCACAACCTAGTAGGGTTTTGATGTGACAACATAATGCTTAGAATAAAGTGAAATTAAACTATTTCTCAATAACCCATGGCCCCTTCTGCAAAATACGCAAATTTAGGTTTCAGCACCTGTTCTTCAGAACAGGTGTTTTAACACTACTTATTTCTTTCTTTCTTTCTTTCTTTCTTTCTTTTTTTTTTTTATCCACACCTGCTGTCAGGTATATTAAGCACATATTAAATGTGTCCTAATGCCAAGGAGGAATAAAGACCTGCAGAACAAGTTCAGTTTGCCATTATTTTTAAAGTATTTCGACCACAGATATTCTCAATTTGCTCCAATTACTGCAATTGCTTTACCACTAGCACAGAAAAAAAAAAAGTATTGTAATCACTAAGCATTTTTATAAAATCATTATACTTTATCATAAAAGGTATCAATCAGGCTTGCAAGTGCCCTCTAATGAACGTGTTTAATTTCACAAATTTGATCAAATCTCTCTGTTGTTTTAATGTTATGACCAAAGGATTAATAAAATGATTGCATTTAATGTGCTTTGGAATAAATAAATTAATTAATTAATTAAAACAGAGAAGAAAAAAAATAATAATAAACTGAATTGAATTGATACCTGTTCATGTTGGATGTCAGGTGGTCTTATTAGCACAGCCATGCTGAAGGTTGACTAAAACTCAAGCATCCTGTATGAGTGGACTGGATTCTTCACTGGGAGATGCATTTGATCTTTAAGTGCTGCAGAGCTGAAGTGAGAGATTGAGAGCATTATTTGAGCACTTCTCTCCCAGCCGCAATTTGGCGCTTTTTGTCCCCATTCCATCAGGGACTTCTTACAGAATGAAAAATAATTTAGTTTCTCGGTAATCTATGTGGAGCAAATCTGACCAGAAGCAGTAATGAAGATTTAATCACTACTCAGCCTAACTGAAACCATGAATCAAACTCATATTAATGTAGCCAGCATATGTTATACTGAAGCATTAGTAAGAAAGATGCATAAAAACTTAAATACACATTCTCATCAATCAGGAAACAAACTTTGCGAACACTGGAGACTGTGCAAATGCAGATATGCATGTATAAATAAGACATGCAACTAGATGAACAAAACAGGAAATAGAGAGCATGCCAACATGTGGTTGCATGTTCCTAAAGTATCAGAGATGGAAGGGGTCAACAAGGCCAGATAATGGGCTGCCAAGTGCACTCAGATTCTGTTATTTATTACAGCGTACATCAGTCTGTGCACTGCCAAGTGGATAAAAAATCTGCAAAAAAAAAAAAATTTCTAACTATCCTCTGATTTTCTGATGCATGCTCAATAATCCAGGTGGATAAATCTAACAAGGTTGAGTCAGAACCTGACTCATCCTTGTTAGATATCCTCTGATTTGCTCGTTAATTGATATATACCCCATTGCTTGTCCAACATTACACCGAAACGATTACTGGAACTGAGAAACATCCCTTCTCTGAAGTGTAAGGCAATGTTCTTTGAACGGGCTGCAACAGTGACTCAATGTTGTGCTTCACCTGCCAAACCCCTCAGAGCCATCCTCATCAGTCCAAAACTTTTACATTTTCTTCTCATCTCTAACCTCTTCCCCCTCTCCAGTGTGGTCGTACTTTCTACTCTCCCTCTAACCTTTTACTCTCATTTTTCAGCCCTGCTTTCCTCCCTCTCCATCATCATTTATCTGCATTCAGTCCATTTTCTTCCCAGCCTGATAGCTCTTAGATGAGGCGTCTTTCTGGTTAGAAACTGTAATGAAGACTGAAATACTATTTCCAGAACGGCTACTGTGAGATTTCTCCACCATCCAGTGCTGATGCAGAGTGATCGATGCCGTTGTTGTTGTTGTTGTTTTGGTTTCCCGGTTTGCTTTTATTGATGTGTCAGCTCGTCTCCGAGCAGATATTCCTAATGACTTCCAGCTTACATGGAGCTCTCATGGAGAAAAGTCAATTCATTTAAATGTAATTGTTCCTACTAGCCAAGCATCTTGCATGCATCATGCAGCAGTTATTTCTCAAATATGTCCTCCGTAGTAATGCATCATTATAGTAATAAAAATCACATAACGGAGAGCTTTAAAAATTTTACTCCAAATCTGTGCAGTATATCTCCTTCGTGGCAAAGTCCCTCAAAAAGCAAAGTCCAAGTTTTCCTTGTTCAATTTTCTGGCGCTACATGTCTCAAATTATATTCTTCTTGAGTGTACACTGTTTGTTCTACATGTGTGCCATGTGATGCCTGAACTATGCCTGTGCTGTTGTGCTATGTAGAAATAAATATAAATTCCTATGCAACAGCCAGAATGCTGATGGTTCAGACATGAACATGTTCTGTCAAAGCAAATGTGATACTCTGCTCTGATCGACCCTCTTCATCAGAATAAACAGCACTGCCCATCAATTACTATCAACCTTTACCTGATGCAAATAGGAATCTTCTTTACCTTTATTCTGATTTTGCTTTCATTTGTATTTATTTCCTGACTGTGTCCTATTTCTCTCATACATTACAGTATTTATAACATTTATCTGAAGGTACTAAAATCAGGAAGAACAACGCATCTTTTTTTTTTTTTTTTTTTACAGTGTTTTAAGAGCAGGGCAGAAGTTTATTCAGAGCTCAGAAGAAATCCCTTAGGAGTGCGCACACACAAAATAGATAAAGAGAAACTACCAGCTAAAAACCCAAACACATTGCACAGTTCAACAACCTCTACATTGTCTTTTTTGTTTGTTTTTTAAAGAAACTGCTTTTCACATAATGTAAAAATAAATTAAAGTTAACCTGATTAATTTTAAAATGTTGGCCTGGACACCGTTGACTCTTGAGTGCCAGATGAATCAACAATCTGGCTATAATTAGCTTAAATGCCAGTCTCACTATTAACAGGTCAGGTAATAATAAATCAATAAAGAAAAATGGGTAACGCTTCACAATAAGGTTCCACTTATAGATGACTAATAAATAGTTTATAGATATGTTAATAATTCCTCTATAAAAACTTTATAAATCATTAATAACTGCTTATTATGATTAATGAAGTGTGACAGAGAGAAAACTGACCAGTTTCGTGCCAAATAGTGAGCCGAATCTGTTCACCTATATAGAGTTGTTATATTAAACATTTCAGACTAAGTTACTACCTTGTAAGCACAATAAGCATTTGTAAACCTATTTTTTAGCATATAATATTGTGCTTTATCACTGCATTATAAGTATCTACAACTAATATTGTATCCTTAAAAAAATCTGCTTACAAATGCTTATTGTGCTCACAAGGTAGTAACTTCATCTGAAATGTTTAATATAACAACTCTAGACGAAATATATAGGTGAACAGATTTTGCTCACTATTTGGCAAGAAACTGATCAGTTTTGTCTCTGTCACCCTTAATTAATGCATAATAAACAATTATTAATCATTTATAAAGTGTTTATAGAGGAACTAATAACATATCTATTGCAAAGTGGTACCAAGGAATGCAGTAATATATAAAAAAAAAAAAAATTGGTTTCATGGAAAGGTAATCTCCTCCACCCCATTGTCACAAACAATCTAATAATGTTTTAAACGAGTTTGGATGGAGTTCATCTGGCACCTCTGGTTGCTGCATCCTTGCCAGACCTGACACTCCAGAACAGCCACATCATCTCTGTGCTTGTTGCAAACACTAGCCTTAAAACGACCAGCACTATTAGATTTAGAGATCAAACCAAGCCCCTACTAAAACTGGCATGCCTGGTATCCATGTATTGGCTTCAGCTAAGTGTTCTGGCACTTATTTATATAAGCCTCAAGGTTAGGTGAAAATTTTCTTATTGGCCATCATCACCCTTCGAGTGGTAATTGCTGATGTTGATGATAACGGATGTGGGATTTCCCCACGAGCTTTAATGTGCCATGTTGCATGTTGCATCCAAAATAAGGCAGAAGTTGATAGCCGCTGTTTATCCCACTGCTCCAACCAATTTGTCACTGACTCATAAAGCAGAAATGACGTTAAATATTCTCTAAAGGGCAGCTCTCTCTTGCCAACTATAGATCTGCAGGGGGCTGATGAGAGTGTTGATCCAACAATTAATTAAACCCACTCTCTGGCCCACACTGGGTTTAAAAAACACCCCTTAGCTGCTTGGAATCTCCTACACCGGTGTACGGAGCAAAAAAGAAACCAACATTTTATTTACTGTCACTAATTTGAACGT